ATGAAAATATTCTTCCCATTGCGCTCATAAACATTAATGATTTGTATAATGACTATGTTCATGGTTTTCAAATAAAGACAAAATATTAGACAAAATATATTAAAGATATTTAAAATACTATATAGAAAATGATTTATGAAATACAACTTATATTACGTACTTTCAATCTATGAATAAAAATAGATCGATACCACAAAGGAAAAAAATATAAGTTTGTTTTGTTTTTTGTTTTGTTGACCAAATGTCATTTATTCAATAATCAAATATTTATAAGTACATCATTGTAAAATTAAAAAGAAACATTATATAATACACAGAATGGCTTTCTAAATTTTTAATGTCGCGGAGTTATTATAAGAATACTGGAGCGATAAAAGAGCTGTATTACTCTCATAACGTTATTAGAATGTTATTATTTTACGTCTTTGATCTAGTAATACTTTTTTTTATTCTTTATTGCAATTTTGGAAACAAAATTGAAGTTTAACACAGCAGTAACTAATCAATAAAAAAAACAACAACACGAGGAATCACAGAAACAACGGCAGCAATACATTCAGAATAAAAGTGCAAAGTTGAAAATATAATATACAAATAAAAACGATTACAAATGAAGTCAAAAACTTTTTTCTTATATTATTATATTAATTAAAATTCCATGTAAAAAAATAATAATTACTTAACGGCCTATACATTGCAATTTATTTAATTTAGTATAAATACAAAAATACAGGGAAACGTACAATTTAATATATAAAAATAAACAAAGTTATCATTATATACAAGACTTTTTTCGAAATTATAAGAAAAATTAAAATTCCAAGTTAAGTACAAATAATAATTACTTAAGTACATTGCAATTTATTTAATTAAGAAATACAAAAATACAGGGAATATTCAAATTAATATATATAATTAAATATATATAAATAAAATCCTATGAAGTTAAAAAAAATGAAAAAGGGGGAAGCTATAAAGCCTTCCAATTTTTGAACATTCCACATTTTAAGTATGAATTTTGATCGTTCAGTATTAACACTTGGTGTGAAATTGCGAAGATGACGTAAATTGTACCAATGAAAAGGAGAATTCAGACGGTGTTCGTTAAACTTTAATTATCGTCATGCATGGGCCGAGGTTGTGTAGAGGTTGGCAGAGCCGTAGATAGAGAGAGTTTGGCCAACTTGGCGCATGGGCGCCATGTTGTCACCAAACAGCGTGCGCGCGTATTATAGCTTTATAACATTTTATAAAACACAGATGCTGCATAAACTTTCTTTCATTATTCTGTTCATGGGGACAATTCAATTATGGGATTTTAACATATCATTGTAAATATCATATACTGTATAATCATATTTACCTAACTTTGGAATTAATTAATCAGTGACATGCTGTAATATTTCGAGGAGATAAAGTGAGGACGATTCTTTATTTTATTATTTTTTTTTTCCGTTACGGTAATACGATTAGGCTATCTTTTTGTTTTGAAAGTCTATCATCTAGGCCTACCTAGTTGCTAGCAGCCTACTCTATAAAGCAGCTCCTAAGAGTCAACACTGCAGAGGAGAAAGGTTGGTTGTGCAGACAGAGTAGGTTTGTGAATCGTCGGCGATAATATGTTAATTTCGCCTGTAAATGAATGATAAAAATATTAATAACATGAAAGTTTTCTAATTGTATCTAGGCCTCTAGGCCATGACTTCGTAAACTTTAATTTATGAAATAAAATATGCTGGTCATCTTCAAACCAACAAATAGCCTAGGCTTATTTGTAAATTCTAATCTAAACAATAAATCAAAGTTGAAGAATTATTACATTGAGAGAAATTTTTGTACAACATATGCCTAGTCATTCATAATCAAGAAGCTAGGCCTTGTAAGTAAAATAGCAGCATTCTCCACACTTCTGTTTATAATTATTAGTGAGTTATAATATTATCATTATTACTGTATTATTATTCATTATTTACTATTCATTGAAATTTTGATTTGTAATTTGTAAAACATTTAAACGTTTTGATTTAAAATATGTATTTATTAAAACAATCAACATATTATACAATTAGGCCTATATCTTTAAAATATATTTTTATCTTTAAAATCTTTAGTTGCACAATTAATTGATCGGTAAAGCACAATTTGGCATGTTTGCATAGCACAGGACTCCTTGGACAAGTTTTCGCTTTTATTGGAGGATTCAATTTTTATTTTTAATTATAATTTAAGCTACCTTTGACTGATACTTCATGTAGCTTTCTGGAAATTTAGTTATATAATTTAACAGCAAAGTGCAACTTTGCATGTTTTTATAAATCATTGCTGCTTGAAAATTCTTCCTTTTTTTTTTTATTATCATCGTAATTAAGCTGATTTAAGTGCTACCTTAAGGTGTTCGGCCGAAGAAGTACCGAAATTTAGGCCTGTCTATGCCTAGTAGTAATAGGTGGATATTATTACCGCGAAGTGGAGCAGGCGGTACATGCCTTATAATTTACTACGTGGATAGCGAGATTTTTCGATCGCCATGCAAAGTTAAATTAAAATCCTAAATCCTCCTCCTTTTTGGAATTTAAGGAAATTAATACATTTTTGTTTCTTTATTGGATCGATTGCAGCAACCCCAAACCCAACATAACGGTATTTCACATTATATATCATTAATCATCTATAATAACTGCTAACTTCCTACCCTATCGCGTTGTTTTGTTTTGGTGACAACATGGCCGGTGTAAGTCACGTGATTGAAACCGAGTTGGCCAAACTCTCTCTATCTACGGCTCTGGAGGTTGGTATAGCGAGCGCCCCTTTCGGTAGAAAATGTCTCTAAAAACATGGCTGCTCGCACACAGAATTTTGACAGTTAGGCCTAACTCAAGAACGTTTCTAAACAGAAGGATGTGTGTTACGTGGTTCATGGTCAATGAAAACCCAGACGTCAACGGCTACAAACTTGTACTAGCCTTTAATCGTGACGAATACTTCAATAGACCTGCAAGTCCCGCCGATTTTTTAGAATCAAACAAGAATGTACTGTGTGGTAAGTCACCTGACACCACAGGCTGGTCTTGCTCTTTTTACGCCGCAATATGATCGTGTCTAGGGGTATTCCGTGTCTAGGCACTAGGCTAGGGCTAGGCAGTAGTTGTAGGCCTTGACCGTGTCTACGTTTCATCGGTTCCTGTGGCCCAGGTCTACTAATAATACTATACATACCTACACTTCGCGAGATGATTTTACCTTGAATTTACCTTGAACCATAGGACTTGATTGAGAACTTAGCTCATTTGTCCCTCCATCGTCATTCGTACAAACTCATCAGTTACGTACGGGCGAAACTTAAATTGGTGGTCAGACCAATATTTTGAAATACCCGATTTAAACTGATGGACAGTAGTAGAATCAACCACCCAACTGGGCAGGGCATTCCAATCATCAATTACTCTAACTGCATAAGAG